GCATAAAACAAATTGCCAAATCTTTCATGAGTTTGTTGGCCCGCTGTGGTGACCCCTGAAGAAGGATCAGCTGAAATAAATTATTTTAGGTATTAATAAATAATGCAATAAACTTACATACAGGACAGTCTGACCAGACCCTCATCGGCTGTGAAAGCAGAAGCTTAGAATAGCTTTTAAGGGTGTATTAAACTCCATTTGTGTAATGTTATTTTGCCAACATTCTAACTGATTGGTGACTTGGGACACCAATAGTTTCCCTTAGGTTAACATAATCACTGTTTGGGGTCTCTTTAGTGTTATTTTTCTCTCTTAATGGATCAAATGGATTTGGAAAAATGTCTAGCCTGGGCTGCAGTAAAGCAACTTTTTAACTTGTACACTTTTACAATGAAGTCCTTGTTATAAAATATTTTATATCATGGGTTATGGATGCTTTTACATTGTGACTGAGAACATCTTGCCCTCCTGCCTAACAAAACAACTTCATCATCTTGGCCTGGAGGCCCACTTGGATTGAACATATCGTTCTGAGCAGCATCTCCATGACGCCCACATCTACACATAATGGTAACGGGACGTGAGAGATGAACACCCACTGAAATGTCATGGTGATAATATAAAAGTCAACAGAAGAACAGGCTCAGGGTTCATTCTGTGACATTGTATGATGTACTCTGTCCGTGTGCACACTTGTAAGCAAAAGCCAGTTAGAAATCTTCACCTGATGTGAGTTTGTGGTTCTTTGTGTCAACAACGTTAGTGAAATAAACTTTTTCTAACAGTCCTCTTGATGCAGTATGACCAAAATATGGTTTCACTTTGTTTTACTGAAAGAATCAAACCTTATCTGGAAAAAGTTTTGTTATTGTGTTTTATTTTTTAGTCCAATTTAAGTATGTTGATTCAGATTGTCTGTACTTTTTATATTTTATTGTTGATTATTCTTCACGGATGTACAAGTTACTCTTACAGTGAGCTTATTACAAACAGAAAGATATGTCCACATTTGAGCCTGTAAAATTCTGATTTGAGATTTTTTTTTTTTACTTTAACTCATTTCATCTTGAGCCTAAAGAATTAAGATTTGTGCTTGTGTGTACTGATATTTAATTACACAAGTTTTCACTTTCCAACATTTTTCAGTCAAGTCATCGGGACAGTTTTTTTTTGTGCTGAAACGTTCCGCCTTCGATCCGGAATGCTTCATCAGTCAAGGAAACACACAACAAAACTGACTCTTCCCCCAACAGCCCACTTCAAAGTGGAACAAACCAGTTATGTTGGTGCTAAGATGGTCTCTTTGGTACACCCCCTCCTCCATTGCCGGCCTTCTTCCTTGTTGACAGTCGTGTCAAACTGGTTGAAAACAACAAAGTCCATGCTCAATAATCCAGGTATACAATCCAACATTTTTCAGTCAGGTCATCTGGACAGTTTCTTTTTTTTTTGTGCTGAAACGTTTCGCCTTCGATCCGGAAGGCTTCATCAGTCAAGGAAACACACAACACAAAACTGACAACTGACAAAGTGTTCACTTTGTTTACAAAATGCAGTAAATGTCAACCTTACTCTCAATGGAAAAAATAATGTAAAAGTTTCTTCTGTGATGCTTTGGAGGTCCCTTGATTTAACATATGTTGTTGTATTTACACAATAATTTTGCATAATTCTGTAAATTTGAAAATACATTTTTATGTAAAACTCCTGAAGTACTTTGCAGGTTTTCTTGTGGAAAAATGCTTTTAATGATTGAGTGGTGAACTGTTTATCATCTTTACATTTTTAAGTTTCAGTCTTTTAATGTCCCTTTTTTATAACCATTCCTTCTACTTTCCTGTCCAAGATGAGTATGTGTATGTTGTCAATGACTTGAGGATAAAACTTTAAATCTGTAGGATTTACTTTGTTCTGCTATCAACACTTTTACATTTTCAAGTAAATGTTTTGACAGCAGGCAGCTCATGGATGCCCTGGAAGGAACTCAACGCTGCGCTTTCCAGCTGAACCCGAGCGATGAGTTCTCAGAGTCGGCCTCCGTTGGTGACAGCAGGCAGATCTTCATCAGCCTTCAATGAGGTCATGAAAGCTCTGCAGTGCACTTTACGGAGTGTAATTAGTGCACTCTGAGGCAGTTTCAGTTCAGTGATTGAACAAGAGGACCCGGGAGACTGGTGATCGCTGGCTTCTCCTGGCACTGTTCCTGAAGAGCTTGAAAGCAAACATGAAATGAAACTGCTGTCATACAGTGACGGTAACTTTCTTTTGCTGCTTTTGTAAAGTTTTAAAGTTAATCTGGCAGGGTTATATTATTATACAGAGCAACATTTTCCTTTTGCTTACCAATTGTCATCTGGTTAAAATTTTAGTTTTACTAAATTTATGTAATATTTGGCTAAGTCATTTAGTTTTCTATTATCTTGTAATTAAGACTTTTGCACAGATACAAATTTTGCACTGATGATGAAATGCATAGTTTGAGAAAGAGCATGCTTCTCATGGAAGGGACCAAGCAAAATACAAAAAATATTCAATAATTATGTTTTAAAAAGGTTCATTCTTTTTGCCCTATCATGAGTTGTCTTATCACTCGACACTCCTGCATGTCGAGCCTTTAACAGTGACAAACGGCAGCTCTTTGCAGCAGCACTTTAGTACAGCCGGATCTCCAAATCAGGAAACGATCACTTATAAGGTGTTAACTCTTTGTCAAAGATTTTGTGCTTCATGCTTTTTTTAAAATTTTTAACGCGAGTTATATCATTTCAGAACTAAACTGCATGGTAATTAGTTGATTTCAAACTCTTACATTGTTTTCCAACTCCTACCATCTCTCTCTCTCTTACACGCACAAGCATGCACATACCATTTGATGTTGATTATATGCGTGTTGAAATCAGCACGGTTTATTTGGCCTTCTAAACCATGTCCAGAGTTCCAATCAGAGCTGCAGCCTGTCTGCTGTGTTTTCCCTCATTAACTCGGAGCATAATAACGGTTTACAGAAATACAGTTTTAAGTTTCACTCTACTTTGATTTCCGACCACTGACTAGCTTTCCCTTTAACATTGCACAGAATTCATTTCCGAAACGTTCAAACTTCTTGCCCACATTTGATGAAAGCACACCAGATATGAGACAGAGCAGGAAGCAGCCCCCCCCCCCCCCAGCCACCCACCCACCACCACCACCACCACCCCCTCTCTCCTTCTCTCTCTCTCTCAGTAGCAGTGTTGACAAGAGTCAAACGTGACCTCTCCAAGACGAGGTACATGTTCCTCAGGGAAGGGAAAGCGAATTAGGAACTGTGGTGAAAGGAAACATGTCAGATGAGTGTCAGCCACCTCCCTTGCCTTGATATGTGGTCTTTCATTGCACGTGCATATTTCTCCTTTGGTTCTTACATTGAACCTAATTCAGAGAAACGTTTTAAGCAGATGCATAGTAGACATATAATTGAAGGTGGGCTGATAAATATGTTGGCTTTCCATGTGTATATGAATGCATCTCCTTCAATAAGCATCTTCCACTTATAGCCAGAAGAAATCCTGCTATAAAAGGCTTCCTAATCGTCCTGTCTGTTCATTTTTATTCTTGTCAAGTCTCTTAAAGCACCAAATGATATCTCTAATCTTCTGTGAGTGTGAAACGTAATTCAGCTTTTGGTCTTTATAAGATAAAGGCTGTATTTTATTATTACCCTTGTCTACGAATAAAAACCTAAACATCTGTGATGTTCAAAGACTCAAAACATATCAGGTGAAAAAAACCTAGCATTTTTATACTCTACTGCATTGTGTGCATCTCTGTGTGATCCTCTTATTGTGTTGCGCTGTTATTTTCTACAACTGATACTGACGCAGTTTGGAAGGCTAGTAGATGATTGATGTGTGCAAATGATTAATGTTTTCTATTTTCTTGCAATAATTTAAAAACTTTTGGGGGATGTTTAAGATTGTTTTTTTTATTCTTTTTCTGATGCTTCTACATTTTCTCATACCTATTTTCAGAATTATGTTGTACACTGTTCTCATTATATTGTCTTGCTCTGATTTTCTGATTCTGCTGCTCACTTATGTGAATATTTCTGCACTTTGCTGCACAAATAAATGGGATGAAAGAGGGTAACAGAGCAGGAATGTATGAGTTGATAAGTAGATGGCAAATAGTAAAGTGATTATTTTGTTAAGGAATAGACATCAAAATGCAAACTGTTTCCATCGGACTTCCGTCGGACACTAAAGTGTTAGGTGAATTGGTGCTGGTGTGTTTTGTTTTAATTAAATATTTGTTTTCCACAAATACAAAATATATAAACCTGTACCATTACCTTATTTTGCTATTAAAGGAATCAAATTGATTTGATCTAATAGTGATGTGGAAAAGCCAAATGTTTTTTACATTGACATACATCTTGGAAATCAGATTTATGCTATAAACCTAATAAGAATGCCTCGGGGGGGGGGGGGGGGGGGGCAGTTTTATTAGGACCAATATTGTGCTTTCAGTGTCTCCAGCAGTTTAATTAAAGAATAACATGTCCTGGTAACCTGTATTTTTTTTTTAAAAAAAGGTACTTAAAATCTGCTGATTTGGAGAGTTACTAAATGTTTAGGGTGTCTGTAACTCTTCAAGAAAATTTTAAGGTGTGCAACTTAAGTCTGCTTAAATCAGTCCCTCTCCAACAACAAATTGAAATTCCCCCATTAAACAGATAAAAATACTTGCTTGTTTATTTACTATTACTGTACAATAGCAGGTGTTTTTGTTTGTTTGTTTTGTTTATTAACACAATTTATTTCTCATAAATTTGCATAAAATGTAATAAATACTTGCTTAAAAATAAAAAAGAAAAGGTTGAATGACAAATTTCTACTTTAAAATATGGCTTTAGCTGCTTCTTAAATTAAATTGTTTGGAAAAATTGCCTAATATATACCTTACCTTCAAAGGCCAAAATAAAACTTTTTTGACCCCTCTTCCCATATTTGTTGTCACAGATTTGAAGGCCGATGACTTGGTGAAGCCTAAGATTGTTTTCCGTAGCCCGACTGTGGCCAGTCAGAGCCCAGAGACAGAACTGATACTGGACGGGGACAATGACAGCGTCAGCCTGCTGCAGGAGAAGGAGGTGGACAACTTGGGTGGTACGTCAGCATGCCAGCATTTGTATTATCCTTCAGTCAGTGTCACCTCGGAAGCAATAATACTCATCTTTTAATCAGACTTAACATGCTTGGGCAGCTAAGTCCTTGATGTCACCGAGTGTGTGCCAACCTTGAATACTTCACTGAGAAGAAAAATTTCAAGATGATGATAATAACAAAAACACTCTGTTGTTTGTGTCCAGAGGTAAGTCTTCTGAATATAAGCTAACATCAAAATAAAAAAATCTAGATGTGGATGGTTTATGATTATTCAAGTAATGAGATAATTTTAACATCTGCTCATTAATGAGTTGTACTGGCAGCACACACACACACACACACACACACAAAAGATCAAACTAAATCTGACATTAAATGAAAAATTTAAAGGTTAAATTTGTGACTGAATACAAATAATCACTTTTTGTTTAGCTATGGAAAGCCAAAGTGACTGAAAATAGGTCAAATGTTAAACTTGTACTAAGTCAGACTATACCTCTGGTCTAATGTAAGTCAGTCATGTGACTCAAGCTTCTACGTGTTTTTTGGCAAATACAGCCTAGTGAATTTGTTTACATTAAGTGTGGACACTCGTCTCAATATTGCATTCAGTTGATGTGGAAAAGTGGAATAAACTTTTTTCAAACTGCACCATTTGATATATTTCAGGGTGATCTTATGTTTGATTTCATACATTGCAATGAGTACCTTCAACTTTGCAGCCTGACTTGACTTAATGTTGTTACCAGAACATGATGCTGACACAATTCTCTTTTTTTTATCAAAATAAGTTGCGTTGGATTGCATTGATTAACCACACACACACACACACACACACACACACACACACACACACACACACACACACACACATATAA